ATTATTTTAATAATTTTAATTATTAAAAAATTAGAAATGCGCACATTGTTTGTCAATCATGAATGCTATCTGTGATACTTTGCTGCTGTCTCATAAATAAAAAAACGTCATTTTTTTAAAAAAAAATTTAGATCAGGTTTCTTTGCAGGCTTTTTTTTTAAAATATATGAGTTGAATTGGTTTATTATTTTCGTTCTTATTATTTATTGAACGTTAAATTAAATAAATATTTATAGGGGAAATTGGTTTTCTTTATGGTCTCACTGTTTTCTTTGCTTATTGTTTATGAATGTAGAAACAAATATTTTATCATAGAGGAAATTATTTTTCTCGAAATTATGATTGTTCTTATACGTATCCTTATGAGTGAATTAGTTTTATTGCTTATTGTTTATTATTGTTCAATAATTGTAAAAGTAATCCTAAATTTAAGCCTGACAAACAAAGAATTAACAAATATTTGATAAGAAAAATATCTTAGCAAAAATTCTATAAAAACCCTTGTTATTAGTCCACCCTTTCCACCCTCACTTTAGCTTCCACATCTTTAAAAAATAATCAAACAAATTAATCATTTCTTTCAATATTACGAAAATGAAATTCTTAATAGTTATCATTGTCCTATCTTTATCGGCAGCAACACCATTCGCTGGAATTTTTTTATTGTTAAAATTTTTTACCTTATTTTTTAAATTTATAACTTGACCCTATAGATGCCAAACAAAAGAAATGTGATGTGGATCCTTGGAATTTTATAAACGTGACAAATGTCAGAAAGTTTGGATTTTGCAAATAATCTCTCCTCTATTATTTCTTTATTATAAAATGTAATAATTTTAATTGATGTATATATTTTTTATTTTTCTGTTATCTTCCAACCTTTTTAAATTTGTCTTGCAAATAAAAGTTTATTTATAACTCAGTCATTCTTGTGCATAATTTTTTGTTCGAAGTGATAATTTTCCGATATTTTCCAAAATTCGATATGAGAACTGAATAAATAACTCTTCGGATGAAATTTTAAATACCACAGATTAAAATTTAACCACTGAGATGGACGAAACAATAATTAATAGAATATTTTAAATTGAAATATTGTAGTTTACTCACAATGGATTTGAACAATATGAAGAAGTCGCAGCCGATTCTCGTGGACTATATTAAACACTAAAATGAGAAATTCCCGCTAAAATGTAGTCCCTAAGCCAATTTCAATAACAGAAGATATCAAACTTCATGAGAGGCAGTTTTTAAATTTATTTAAAAGTGTTGTGTTTCTTTTTTTTTTCGATGATTTTTTTTTTTTTGAATAAATGACAATGAATATTATTCTAGATTATATTTAAATATCATAACATTTTGAGATTCTATGGAATAACTAGTTTATTTTTCCAAATATTTTGCTGACATAAATTTATCTAGTTTCATCCCACGATAAATTCAAGTTGGTTGTTGAATACGCTGATGGAGGTTCATTACGTCAGTATTTAAAAATCCATTTAGTGAGTTAAATTGGAATAATAAATTATAACTTGCGAAAGAAGTGACTAGTATATACGTAAATGGAATTATCCGTGAATATATTTACGAAAATTTAAAATTATTATTTAAAATATTATTTAATATTTTTCTTTAATTCTTTTATATTTTTCCAAATAATAAAAATGAAATATTCTTGTTCGAAAGGTCATATTAGATTAAGTGATCCCAGAATATCACAAAGATAATCCTCCATCAATTGGTCATAAAGGAAGTTCTGATATATACAGTTTAGGGGCACTACTTTGCGAAATCTCTAGTAGTAGAGTTTCATTTCGATCGGAAAAATTATCAAACAATGAATCGATACGATAAAAAAATTGTCAGATAAGATAAACAAGAAACTGTTTAACAAGTGACTCATCGAAAATATGCGAAAATCTATTTTAATATGAATATTATTAAAGATCCTTTTCTTCTATAAAATATAATAAAAAAAAACAATAATCACTTTATGAAATATAATAATTAGAATATAAATTTTTATTTATACTCTTGTATGTAATTATTATATAAAGACAGAAGTCATTAACAAAATTTTGTAAAAACAATATTTATTTCAATACTGGAAATCATATCAATTTTAAAAAGATTTACATTTGCCTTAAATAATTGGGATTGTTTTTTTATATAATTCATTAAATTTAATTTGTTGGCAACATAATCATACATACTAAACGTCCAACTGTTGAACAAGCTTACAACGAACTTAATGAACTTGATGTTGATGTTGATGTTGATGATACGATAACCGAATACGAATTATAATGTCGATTGACCAAAGTACATTAAAATTTATTTTATCTATTTCATTTGTAAAATTTTTTATGATGAAATAATAAACACCATTTACATGAGTAATGACAATTTATTGCTCTAAAAAATTTATATCAAGAAAAAATTAATTTTGCTATTATTTATTGAAATAAAAAAAAATTGACTTTTCATCTTGATATGCATAAAACTTTAATTTAATAAGTTTATTTGGTGCCCCTCTTGACACCTTCTGTAATACTTTAATGATAGATGATATAATTTCATGATAAATAATGAATACATATAAACATTTTATTTATATACAAATATTAGACTATTAATTTCGGATAATTAAATAAAAAAATTTAAATTTCAGCTATATTAAAATTTTTTTTAAAAATGCAAGTTTTTATTATTTGATTTTTTAATTGATGAATTTGAAAAACGCTTAGTAATAAAATTAACTATAAAATTTGCTCTTTGTTAACATTTGAATTAACCAATTTTTTTATTTGATAAAATAAAAAATTTTATCACAGGAATTAACCGGGACATAATTGAAAAAATAATAAAATTTATAAATTTTGTGTTTATATAAAGTATTTATCAATTAATTTCGTAATATTATGAATTTTTTTAAAATAAATATATCGATTTTTATTATTGATTTTTTAATCAACAAATTTGAAAAGTGCTTAGAAATAAAAATAGCTATAATTAATGGTTATATTAAAAATTGATTATTTGAATGATTTAAAATAAAAAAATAAGTTTTTTATTATTTATCAACTTATAATATTTAATTTTCACGCCGTATTCAAACTAATGGAATTTCCAATGGAGATCCTAAATAAATAAATGAAATATAAGTATACACTACAACATTATTTGTCGTACTTACTGCGGCTATCTCGGCATTTTATTTATCTATTTTTTATTTATATTTAATTTTTTATTATTATTTAATTTTTTATTGTAATTTAATTTTTTTATTATTATTTTTATCATTTCTCTGAAGACTTCCGTAAATATATACAAAATATAAAACATAAAATTAAAATGAAATTAAAAAGTAATTTTGCAGATCCTGCTATCTCAAGAAGGTGAAATGAACCCGAAATCACAGAATAAAGTATATAAACATAGTAAATATATATATATAAATAAGATTTATTTAATTAAAGCTTTAAATAACAAAAATTAATAGTTAATAAATAAATGAGATGCATACACGTCAAATGATATAAAGAAATAAAGAATTTAGAATCAAAATTTCAACCTTAAAAATAAAAAGTATAAAACGAAGTATATAATATCTCTTTATTTAAACTAGCACAAACTATTTTTTAAACTATCTTTTAGAGGTCGATCCATGTCACGTTTAGTTTACTCACATTGTTTAATTATGTAACGTGGTAATATGGGGTAAGGTCACCAGATGAGTGGTGTACAGGCATAAAATAGGAATTGAATACGGTGTACAAAGGTGTAAAAAAACTCCCAAAAATAATGTGATTAAAGCTAGGGTAGGATTGGTGAGTTATTTAGAGTTAGACATGGGTTAAAAAATTTGTACTTTGTTTTACACCACTCATCAGACCAACACCTTTCCGTAGTACCCTTCCATCAATGTCACGTTAAAATGTGTAGATGTATTTTGTGTAACTATGTATTTTGTATTATAATTTATTATCGAAAACTTAGCGAAGGTTAAAAATAATAATCAAGAATGTTTATTTTTGTACAACGGTTCCAACAAATTATTTTTAGTAAAAAAAAATAATTACATAACAAAAGTATACCGTTTTACCATAGTCGCAGTACAGACTATTACGACATAATAATTTAACTAATCAAATATTTATTTAGAAAAATATTATTAAAAAAACCAATTGTCAAATAACTAGTGACGGCGACGAAAGCGCACATTCACCTAATCAGTTAAATTATTATTAATTTTTTTTAAAAAAAAAGTATTAAAAAATAAAATTTAAATATAATTTAATTAGGTTGATCGAAAAATAATAAAATTATTTTTAAAGAAGAAATCTTATGACTTTATTTTTATTTTATTTTTTTTTTCAGAACACATGCGAAAAAGATTGAAAATATTTTATTTATATTTATTTTATTTTTTTTTTCAGAACACATGCGAAAAAGATTGAAAATATTTTATTTATATTTGCTTTGCAAAAAAAAAGAATGTATTTTGACACCAATAATAATTAAAGTTTACGCTTGTTTTTAGTAAAAATTAGACAGAAAATTTTTTTTCAGAATGTTGAAAAAATATTTATTATAAATAATTAAAGTTTATTGCTGTTTTTAGTTATCTCCTTAACTTCGTTTAACCGATTACATATTTTTAAATTCCTTTTTTTCCATTTCGTGCCGTGACTTCGCTGAAATAGGAATAATATTGAGTTGGAATAAACACTACAATAAATAAATTTATTTTTAATTCCCGCCATAAAATACATATATATTAAATTTAATATTTTACACTAATAATATAATAATTTAATGTAAAAAAAATATAAAAACCACCACTCGCGTCCATTCGTTTTTATTTAAAAAATTTAAAAATAACAAACTTATCTTATCCGAATTATTTCAGATAAATCCTTTCGATTTTCTGGTAAATAAATATTACATCTATCATATCAATTTTTCTGTATTTTCTAGATTACCCGAATTGACATAAAATGGGTATTTTGGAATTCTTTCGAGAGCCGATTCCTCCATATGTATTTGGCACCTTTCCTGCAATTGCAACCATAGGAACAGCACCATTTAATATCTTCAGAGGAAAGCTATTATGGATATTTCGGATCTTAGGATCCCCATTCACGGGTTTGTCATATTTTTGCAATGTAAAACACAATGATCCGTCGGCAATGTGCGCATATTGGCTTCCATCAAGAAATTTTATAAATGAAAATGGTCAAAATATCCTCTATCGACCTTTCGGACATTATGCTATGGAATTAGATCCCAATGACCGTCAGAAGGCAATGATTAATGCATGCGTAGCAAAGTCATCTGTTCTAGAACGATTAGGGTCATTGGTAACTGTATATTTTGTATTAGTTGGTACGATTACAGCCATAGCTAAATTGGCAGGTAAAAATCATTGTGAGGATTGGACATATATACCAATGATATTATCCTGGACATTGCCGGCTATATATATTCGAACAATCAAAGGAAGAATAGTAGTTTTTGATCCGTGTGAAAAATTAAGAAATGAAAGAATCATTGTAAAAAATCTCCCTGATGGAAGATCTGACTCGCGCGTTTACATTTTGATCACTGCTTTTGTATCGATAACAGCACCTTGGATAGCAGTATACATAGCGTATCTTTCACCCCCGGTTTCATTTGCTTGTAGATCCAAATTCGTTACGATATTTTGCTCCATATGGTCATTCAACAATTTTATCGCGTATATATCGCATGTCTTGGGAGAACAAACCGTACGAGGACATTGGTTGATCCACGGCTGGTTTTGTTTTAGTGGTGTTATAATAGGATTTCTTTTAATTTTTCTAGGCATACTATCTAATAATTTATCATGGTGGATAATCCTGTTTGGAAATGAATGTGACAAGTCATCAGTATGTAAATACTAAAGATGTAATAATTATTATTATTATTTATTATTAACATTAGAGTATTTAGATTTTTTGGGGGTCTTTGGGAAACCTAATTGAAGAGATTCAGTTTATAGTTTAGTTGCCATAGATAATTAGGGCAACGATGGATAGGCGGTTAGGTTAATAGATTATAGCCAGTCTTATTAGATGTCAGATTTCTTGACATTTTTCTTGGGTTTTCCATCAATTTAACCAATAAATCATTTAATACAAATACTGTAACTACCTTGAATTGAAAAAAGACTGTGTTAATGTTACAGACATTTTTTCCGTTTTGAAAAAAATTCTTTATGTGGTTAGTGGTACGACTGCATTTTTCGGTTTAATTTTTTATTATGTTTATTTATATACTAGTGTGAGGCCCGTGTCTTTTCTCCTTGCTCTTTTTTACTATTTTTATTATTGTTTTTATCTTTTTACATATGAATTTATCTGTTTGCCTTTGCGTTTTTGATTTGTTGCTATTTGATTTTGTGTTCGTCTTTAATTTTGCATTTTGTGCTGAGATCAGTAGAAGTAATTATTATGACATTTATTGTGTGCATAACCGCAATGAGTTTAATAAATACGGGAGAATATTAAAATAAAACTTTTTTCTACAACGTAAATAAACAGAATTCGTATATACAAATAAAAAAATTAATTAAAAAACAGGTTTCTAATTCAAAACAATTATAAAATATAGAAACTTATTTATTTATTATTTTTAATTTATTCATGTGTCATATTATTTTACCGTATTTATTAAACTAATTCTATCGTAAAAAAATTCGTGAGTATTTTTAATTATTAAAGAAAAAAATCGTATTTCAATCCATTCATAAGCCAGCTTAAGAAAACAAATGTTCAGTACTTTCATGCCTTCTGAACAGTTTTGATCAGTCGCTCAAAGGCAGTTTACTTTGTTCAATGTATTTGATATTACGTCTCAAAGTTCTGGATGTAAAATAGAACTTTAAAAAAAAATTCGTGGGTATTTGTAATTAAAGAAACATCGTATTTCAATCCGTTCGTAAGCCAGCTTATCGAAAACAAATATTAAAATATTTTCACATCTTCTGAACAGTTTTAATTAGTCGCTCAAAAGCAGTTTTCTTTGAAATTACGTTTCAAAGTTCTGAAAGTGCAAAAAAATCGTGAGTATTTGTAATCAAAGAAAGAATAATCTTTCAATGCCAGCTCAGTGAAAACAAATATTCAAGTAGTTTCATACCTTTTGAACAGTTTTAAATAGTCGATCAAAGAATTTTTTTTTTCTCTCAGATGTTAAAAATAAGAAACCTGCCACCATATTTTTTTGATCATACAATACATAATAAATTTTATTAAAAATAAAATGAAATAATTTCGTAAACATGATAGCATCAAATGATCACAACATAGCGATGCAACTGTGATGATATTTTTTTAAGAACAACAATTTTTTGAGTAAGCATGCGAACTCTCACTAAGCCGAGAGAGAATTAATTTTACTAGGAAAATTTTACTGTGCCAAGGATCGCTAAAGCTTCTCTAGAGGCCTTACTCAATCATGGGATCACCTGTTATCTTTTACAAAAAACAATTATAACTCTATTATTCTTATTATTTCCACTAAGTCGAAGAGGAATTAGATTCTCCAAGTCGCATCAATTTCTATCCTTCGTAAATCCTTTTTTAGGTCGCAAGAAATCACCTGTTAACTTTTACTACTTGAAAAGAGGTTAAGAACGTAATTGTTACGAAATCACGTTACAAATTTCAAATAAATATAGGACCAATAAAAATGGTAAAACACAAAATCACGGAATCTGAAACCCACCAATTAAAAGTCTTTGAATTCAATTATTTATTAATTCAATTATTTATTAATTGTTAAGATTTTATGAAATATATATATAAATTGATATTTTTTATTTCGCAAGATATATTTATTGTGGAGTGGTTGATTTAGGAATATAAAAACAAGATTTATTTATGATTTAATGATTGCAGCCAATGAATTTGAGATCGAAAAATTAGAAAAATCTTTCATTGAAACTGGTTAAAGTTCATTTTTTCTAGTTTATCGTTCAATTTTTAGTGAAATAACTTGAAAACTTTTGAAATAACATTGTTACAAAACATCTTTCACTTATTTTTGATACTGAAGATTTTAATTCTCTTCAAGAATCTGCTCCTTTAGTATGATTTACAACTAGAAGAGGTGATGATTTGTGAATGTGTAATTAAATAGAGAATTTCTCAGAACTTTACCAGTAGACCTTAAAAAATGGACTAAAGAAAACTTTACAACCTTAAAAACTTCTTGTCACCAATACCTACCTCTAGTTAGAAATTTTCATATTACTGATACTGATATTTATGAAAAAAATAAAGCCATACAAGAAAATTTTTATTCTTGATGAACAACTTTGGGAAGAATTCCTACCCGTACAACGGAACAAGCAAATATACTCTCCACTATTATTATTTATGAATATAATTCTTGGAGGTTATTATCCTTTAATTTGGGATGTTAATATTATTGTTTCTAATAATATATGGAATAAAATAAGGATAGATTTATTTTCTCATTGAAAAATGGCAATATACAAATTTTAATTCTTAGTAGAGTAAAAATTCGTGAGTGCAATTTGGATTGTAAACAAATATTGTCTAAAGACTTATGGTCCATCTTTGTTGTATCTAATCTCTAATTTTACGTTAGATAATAACAGTGTGTATTATAATAACAATGATTATCATGAAGAACTACAACAAATGATTTCTCAATTATTGATTATGAAGTATTCATGGTTATCAAGAAAAGTAGTTAGAATTGCAAATATTTTGCATTCGGAAAAATTTCTGCAATTACAAATGCTTGTTGTTTTGACTTTTTGACTCTCACCCTCGATAACATTCTTCGATAAGCATATGGGCGGATTTGTTTGATTGCGAAAATCTAAAAATGGAAATTATTATAAAATGCTTATCAATTTCTTTTTTAGCCATAAGAAATCAAATAAATCCGCCCATATTATAAAGCCACAATAATGATTTTTGCTTTTTCACAGTTTTCTACGAATGTGCCAGCATGAAGTATGTGGATAACTGAGGCTTGGCAATAAATAAAAATAAAATAAATATTAACGCTACTGTGGCATTTTTTATTATTTATGTTTTCCCATATACGCATGAGACTTCATGGCTTTAAATCCCGTGCCGATAAAGAAATTCTGCTAGTCGTGAGAAGCTTCGATTTCTCTTTTGTAAGCTTTACGTTCATAAAAATATGGTTTGTTTTTAAGAGATTCTTCGTATTTCTCTTAGTCAATTTTAGTTTCAATGTAGATAACAATTGCGAATAATACACATGATAAAAGAAGAAGAAATTCCGTCTTTTTGTGAGAATTATAAAGTTTTATAATGAAATTATGATGTTTTATAACTTTTTGAAATGAAATCATACTGTTTTTATAACTTCTTGTTAAGTTAAACATAAAAGAGATACAAATAAAAATAAATAAAGAGATAAAAATAAGAATAAATATGACATTCGTGATTATTCTTATGGTGGCTAGAAAACTTTTTTGATTTTTGCGCACAATAACTTTCCTTTTTGTTTTGTAAACAAATTATTTTAAAATTTTTATCTTTGAGGCTTGCTGGTTTTCCCCAATTCTTATATTACCAAAATTAGGTTTCCTAATCTATCTGTCATCTTTCCATAAGAGATGAATTTTAAAATAACAAATTTTAAGATAATGTGGCTTTGAATATTGGACACAAATGATATGGCTTATAATAATTTACCATATATAGTATCCTAACCTGATTTTCTGTGCGAGGCTCCAATTTTTTTGGTCAACATTTTAATTATTTTAATTACATAAAAAATAGAAATGCGCATATTGTTTGTCAATTATAAATACTATCTACGATACTTCGCCGCCGTTTTGTAAATAAAAAACGCATTTATAAAATTTTTTTGAAGGCTGTAAATATGAGTTGAATTGGTTTTATTATTTTTGCTTTTTATTTATTGAATGTTAAATTGATTAAGAGAAAATTGATTTTCTCGAAATTGAGATTATCATACATATTCTTTATGGTTTTATTGTTTTCTTTGCTTATTGTTTATGAATGTAGAAGCAAATAATTTATCATGAAGGAAATTTTTTTTCCCGAAATTATGATTATTCTTATATGAATCTTTATGAGTTGAATTAGTTTTATTGTTTATTGTTTATTATTATTTAATAATTGTAAAAGTAATCCTAAATTTAAGCCATGACGAACAAAAAAATTAACAAATATTTTGATAAGAAAAATATCTTGTAGAGTGAATCTTTAACTTATGGCAAAAATTCTATAAAAACCCTTGTTATTAGTCTACCCTTTCCACCCTCACTTTAGTTTTCACATCTTAAAAATAATATAACAATTTAATAATTTCTTTCAATATTAAAAAAATGAAATTCTCAGTAGTCGCCATTGTTCTATCTTTATTGGCAGCAACATCGTTTGCTGGTAATTTTTTATTGTTAAAATTTTTTCATTCATTGAATTTTTTTTTTTTAATTTATAATTTGACCCTATAGATGCCAACCAAGAGAAACGGGATGCAGATCCTTATTATTATTATAAACGTGATGCTGAGCCCTATTATTACTATAAACGTCAGGAATTCAAACGTGATGCCGAACCATACTATTACTACAAACGTCAGGAAGAAAAACGTCAATTAGACAAACGTCAAGAAGAAAAGCGTGATGCCGAACCCTACTATTACTACAAACGTCAGGAAGAAAAACGGCAATTAGACAAACGTGATGCCGAACCATACTATTACTACAAACGTCAGGAAGAAAAACGTCAAGAAGAAAAACGTCAAGAAGAAAAACGTGATGCCGAACCCTACTATTACTACAAACTTTAGGATGATTAAATTTAGATCTTGGATTTTACAAATAATCTATCCCTATATTAATTTCTTTATTATTAAATATAATTGATTTTAATTGATGTACATATTTTTCATTTTTCTGTCATCTTTCGTCCGTTTTTTAAATTCGTATTGTAAATAAAAATTTATTTTATAACTCAATCATTCCTGTGACATTATTTTTTGTTCAAAGTGTTAATTTCCGAAATTTTCACAAAAATCGATATGAGAACGGAATAAATCAACTCTTCGGATGAAAATTTAAATACCAAAGACAAATTAACTAATGGAATGAACTAAACAATAATTAGTAGAATATTCAAAATGGACATTGTATTTTACTCAATGGATTTGAACAATATGAAGAAGTCGCAGCCGATTCTCGTAGACTTTATTTAAAACTAAAATGAGAAAATTCCCACTAGAACTATAGTTCTTGAGCCAATTTCAATAACAGAAGAATTCAAACTTCAAGAGAGGCAGTTTTAAAATTTATTTAAATGTGTTGTGTTTCATTTTTTTTCGATGATTTTTTTTTTTGAATAAATGACAATGGATACTATTCTAGATTATATTTAAATATCATAACATTTTGAGATTCTATGGAATAACTAGTTTATTTTTCCAAATATTTTGTTGACATAAATTTATCTAGTTTCATCCCACGATAAATTCAAGTTGGTTGTTGAATAAGCCGATAGAGGTTCATTACGTCAGTATTTAAAAATCCATTTAGTGGGTTAAATTGGAATAATAAATTACAACTTGACTAGTGTGTACGTAAATGGAATTATCCGTGAATATATTTTTAAATTATTATTCTTTAATTCTATTAATTTTCCCAAATAATAAAATAGAATATTCTTGTTCGAAATGTCATATTATATTAAGTGATCCGGAATATCCCAAAAAATGGCAGAATTAGGACATGGATCCTTGATCAATTGGCATAAAGAAGTTCCGATATATACAGTTTAGGGGTATTACTTCGCGTAATCTCTAGTGGTAAGGTTCCATTTGAATCGGAAAAATCATTGAACAATGAATTGAAAAAGAAATTGTCAGAGGTGAACAAGAAACTGTTGAACAATGGACTCCCCGAAAATATGCGAAAATCTATATTATTTATTATTTAATCAATTGAATGATTCTTTAATTTTCGGCAACACGATCATAATAAACGTCCAACTGTTAAACAAGATTACAACGAATTTAATGAAATTAATGTTGATGATACAATAACCGAACCAAGGTTACTCTGTCCATAACTATTTCCTTCTTCAGTTGATTTCAAGTACCATTGGAATGTTTTCTTTTCAATTTTGTAATTCCAATTCCTTCTTGATAAAAATATCCAAGACTACACTGTCCATCATTATTTCCTCTTTCAGCTAATTTGAAGTACAATTGAAATGCTTTTGCTTTATCTTTTGTAGTTTCAATTTCATTATGATAACAGACTCCGAGATTAAACTTTCCATTGTTGTTCCCTCCTTCAGCTGATTTAAAGTACCACTAAATGCTTTCTCTTCATCTTTTGTGGTTCAAATCCCTTCATTATAACAAGTGCCATGGTTATTCTGTCCAGCCCTGCTCCCTCCTTTGGCTGATACCAAGTTCCAGTGAAATGCTTTCTCTTCATCTTTTATGGTTCCAATCCCTTCTTCGTAATAAGTACCAAGTTAATTCTGTTCATAACTATTCCCTCCTACAGTTGATTTCAAGTACTATTGAAATGCTTTCTCTTCATCTTTTGTGGTTCCAGTTCCGTTTTTATAACAATTTCCAAGATTATATTGCCCATTACAATCTCCCTCTTCGGCAGATTCCGAGTATGACCAAAATTCTTCATTTTCATCTTTCGTTGTTCCAATTTCCTTATTATTCACCCCCATTTATGCAGAGAATAAAGTTTTTAAAAAGAAATTTAATATAAATTCGATGAATTTACTAAGTAAATCAAGGTTATTTATATGTTTTAGTTATAAGTAATTTTTGAGGATAAGTAAAGTTAAAATTTACAATTCTTACATGTTAGCCGTTTAAAAGTATAATGATTAAACTGTACTGTGCGATCTTAAATATACACCAAATTCGTACAATAAAATGCTTAATGTTTTTGTTAAATCAATTTTTGTGCTATCCATATTTGCTAATTTCTAAAATTGGTTCGTCTTAGAATATTTCACTTACTGATTTTAGAAATATTAAAAATTATTATTTTTATAATTAATTAAATTATTCTCTTTAGAAAAATCGTCACGTTTTATAATAAACTGAGAAGATTACGTAGTTGGAAATTTATAATTGATTTCAGTTTTTTTTTTTCTTTCAATATAACCGAAAATTAATTTTTGATTACTTCCAATTATATATTCACGCAAAATGATAAATGCGTTTTAATAATTAAAATTTTTATCTCGAATGACTAATCTTTCACTTTATAAATTTATTACTTATTTAGGACAAAAAAACTATTACTCATTATTTTCAATTATTCATAGTTTTAAAAACTAATATTTACCGATAAAGTAAATCAACCACACATAAATAATATACCATATAACAGTAAGGAAAAATCATTACATTTTAATATTTTTTTTAGATGGATCAACATATACCCAAACTAATTAATTCACGACATTTATTTGGAATTATTAATTAGGGTTGCGAACAGGAAAATTGTTAATAATTATAAAGGCAAAGGCAATCATGACGTTACTACTTCAAGATTTAGTTCTGAACTATTACAGGTTCTACTGCTAATTATAAATCAAGGAATCTGAATAAAAAAATTAAGAATTCTGAGATAGAAATATATTTAAGAAAATTAAAAATTTATAAAATATTTCATCATCATTTACAGTATAACTTATGATTTCATTTTTATCAATTTTTATTATCAGACATCATGATATTAATAGATATTATTTGTAGATATTAAAAAGTGTGATTAGTGATATCATAAACATTAATGGCAGTAACTAAGGTAATAGTGAAATAATTTTAATGATTTATTGACCATCAATTTTTATTAAAAAAATGAACATCATTCTTATTTTTTTTTATTTAATCACCACATCATCAAGATCATTACTGTTATATCGTCATCATCACTACCACATCAATACTACATCATCATCAGGATCTAATAGTTTATTTCTATATACATATAACTATTATTGTTATGAGTGAATTATTATATGAGTTACGTTTTCATTTTCTTTATTTTCTAAGTTGGTTATTATATATGGATTCTTATGTGAGCTATGTGATTATGGTGTATTAAAATCATTATTACTATTATAGATAATTACATTATTAATTAGATAAGAATGTTGTTATCACTATATTTAAATATTATGTAATATTAGTGATATTGTTATAACCTTCGACATATGATTTGCTTCAAATTTAACTACATCTACTGAAACTACTTCTTTTAAGTCAAAGAATCTGAATAAAGAATTCTTGAGTGGAAATTATTCAAGTAATGATATTCATTATTTCTTTTATTGTTTATATATTTTTATCTCAACCAATTTTTGATTCATTTATTTATTTTTTATCAAAGTGGATTATTATATTAAGGAATGATTAATGATTTTATAAATATTAGCATGACCATTATTATTAGAAATTCTCTTAATTTTTGTTTAATTACTGTATAATCAACATCACCATCAATAATCATTTCTTCACCGGATTATGGTAATGGTGCATTAGAAAATTTTTTTTTGAGCGAGAGTGACTAGTACTTCATGGCTTCAGAGCAACCAGTGACATTGATAATCTTACTACCAAGAACAATTTTTGTTCAAGAATTGTCCACCTATACAAAAGAAACAATAAAACCATTTCCACTATTATTACATTATTACTTTTGAACATGCATCTGAAATTTCACCTTGGATTAATACATATGAGCTTCGATTAATTTACGAATAAACTTTTTGGATATCTGTAATGGTCATGCTAGTACTGTAGTGACCATGGAAAGTTAAAGGAATAAAAGAAATCCTTGGAAGGTTATAATACGTACAATAATTTGAGATTCTAATATTGCTGGTTCCAATAATAGATGAAATAAAAGTAAGAATGGCTTTATTTTCTCATTGAAAAATGTCAATATATAATATTCAACTCATAGCAGAGCAAAAATTCGTGAATGTGCAATTTTATTACAAACAAATATTTATGTTCCATCTTTTGTGTATATTATCTCTAATTTTACGTTGGATAATAACAGAGTGTATTATAATGACAATGGTTAGAACTACAATAAATGATTTCTCAACTGTTGATTATGAGATTCAGAGAACTAGTTAGAATTGCGAGATTAATAAATACAAATATTTTGTGTTCAGAAAAACTTTCAGCCACATAACGTTCTTCGATTTCACAGTTTTCCGGGGACTTAAGTGTGTGGATAACTGAGGCTTAGCAATAAATAAATATAAATATTAACATTACTGTGCCATTTTTATTATTTATGTTTTCCCATATGGCGCATAATTTTCATGGCTTTTGATAAAGAAATTCTACTGATCATGTAATAATAATAAAAAAATAAATCTGCATCTCTTATATAATAATAATAGTAGGGAGAAGCTTCGATGTCTCTTTTGCAAGCTTTACTTTATAAAAGTATGGTTTGTTCCTAAGAGATCTCCGTATTTCTCTTGGTCAATTTTAACTTCAATGTAGATAACAATTGCGAATAATGCACATGATTAAAGAAGAATAAATTCCATCTTTGTGAGAATTGTAACTTTTTAAAATGAAATCATGATGTTTTTATAACTTCTTGTTAAGGTAAATATAAAAGAGATACAAATAAACATAAATATGATATTCGTAATAATTCTTATGGTGGCTAGAAAAATTTTTTGATTTTTGCGCATAATAACTATCCTTTTTGTTTGTAAACAAAGTATTTTAAAATTTTTAAAATTTGGCTTTGATATTGGATGACAAATGATAAAGGCTTATAACAATTTACCATATCCTGACCTGACTTCCTGTGCAAGGCTGCTAATTTCTTTTGGTCATTATTTTAATTATTTTAATTAATGCCATTATATTTAAACCACATCTTGTAGATTGAATCATTAACTTATAGCAAAAATTTTATAAAAACCCTTATATCTTTGCATTCACATCTTTAAAAAATAATATAATATCTTCCAATATTACACAAATGAAATTCGCAGTAGTTGCCGTTGTTCTATCTTTATTGGCAGCAACATCGCTTGCTGGTAATTTTTTATTGTTAAAATTTTTTTTCATCTTTGTAATCTTTTTTAATTTATAATCTTAACTCTAGATGCCAACCAGGAGAAACGTGATGCCGAACCTTATTACTACTATAAACGTAATGCTGAACCATACTATTACTACAAACGTGATGCCGAACCTTATTACTACTATAAACGTGATGCTGAACCTTACTATTACTACAAACGTGATGCCGCCCCCCAAAAACGTCAGAAACCTACCAAACAACCAGATACGTCTGATTCGGAATCATCTTCTGATGAAGAATAATTCATTTAAATTTAAATTCCAGATTTGAATTTTGTAAATAATCTAACCCCCTTATAAAATTCTTTATTATTTAAATGTAAATATTTTTATTTGATGTACATTCTTTTTATTTTTCTGTAATCTTCCGATCATTTTAAAATTCGTCTTGCAAATAAAGATTTATTTTATAACTCAATCATTCTTTTGACAAAATTTTTTGTTCAAAGCGGTAATTTCAGAAATTTTCCAAAAAATCGATATGAGAACGGAATGAATCAATTTTTCGGATGAAATTTTAAAAATATCATGGACCAAAATTTAACTAATGGAATGGACGAAAAAATAATTGGTAGAATACTTCAAAGGACATATTGTAATTATCACAATGAAAAAGTCGCAGCTGATTCTCGTAGAACTATATTTTTATACAGTATTTTTTTTAACCTATATTTTTTATAAACATGAGAAATAATAATGTGCAAGTTTTAATTTTCTTTTTTTTTGTGCATTTTTTTACATAGCACAAATAACGTAAATTAAAATAATTAAAAAAAGCATATTCAGCATTTTTGTATATTTTATTCAATTTATTTACACACATTCGCATTCATTCACTCATATTCGTTCACAATTATTTTTCACTCATTCACTCTAACTTGCTGTTCACAAATGGAAATTTCCAATGGGAGAATTAACAGAACAAAGGGGAAAAAGTGAGGGGATGGAAAAATAAATTAAAATTTAATTAATAAAATAAATGAAACCGAAATCTTATTAAGGAAATATAAAATAATCTTTATATATACAGGATATTACACTACACAATATTTATTACTTCTTATACACTCACTGTAGCAGGTATCTCGGCATTTTATATTTATTTTATTATTAATTATCTTTGTTATTTCTCTGAAATACAAAAATTGAATTTAGAACGTACGATTTTCATATAAATTATACTTCTTTTAAAACATTTATTCATTTATTGAATGATTTCTCTCAATGACTTCTTTTCCTAATATTGTATTTAATGTATTCATTTATTTCATTTGGCATTGTCACAACTGTGCAGAGTATTTTGAACAATTTCTCAAATCAGTCTCAAAGTTTGCATCACACAAACATAATAATATGCTCTATCTGCCAGTAGGTC